AAAACCCGGCAACTGGAAGGTTTTGCGGTACGTTTGGAACACCTTTCGCTGGCGAAGCTACCCCTTTCACCTGTAAATTTATGAATTCCAAATAAAGATCAAGAACGTTTCGATGCAAAGTTAGCATCGAAATCAGGTGCCCTGTTAGTTTTAAAATACACATCCTTGTGAAGGCCTAAGGCTGAGGAAAGAATATAAACTAGCTCATTATGTTTATGCTGATCACGTGATGAAATGGTATTTTAAATACATTAGGTTAAAGATTTATTAAAATTAACTTCACCGATTTTTCCTTTTTTATTGTTTTATTTTTATCATTAAACATTTTTTTTAATTTTATTTTTCATTTTTTTAAAATTTACATCCAAATTAGTTAGCATATAGTGCAACAATGATTTCAGGAGCAGCTTCCTTAGAGCCCCTTCCCCATTTAGCCCATCCCCCCTCCCACAGCCTCTCCAGTAACCCTCAGTTTGTCCTCCATATTTATGAGTCTCTTCTGTTTTGTCCCCCTCCCTGTTTTTATATGATTTTTGTTTCCCTTCCTTTATGTTCGTCTGTTTTGTCTCTTAAAGTCCTCCTGTGAGTGAAGTCATATGATTTTTGTCTTTCTCTGACTGACTAATTTCACTCAGCTTATTACCCTCCAGTTCCATCCACGCAGTTGCAAATGGCAGGATTTCATTCTTTTTGATTGCCGAGTAATACTCCTTTGTATATACATACCACATCTTCTTTATCCATTCATCCATCGATGGACATTCGGGCTCTTTCCATCCTTTGGCTATTGTCGATAGTGCTACTATAAACATGGGGGTGCACGTGTCCCTTCGAAACAGCACACCTGTATCCCTTGGATAAATACCTCATAGTGCAATTGCTGGGTCGAAAAGTAGTTCTGTTTTTAGTTTTTTGAGGAACCTCCATACTGTTTTCCAGAGTGGCTGCACCAGCTTGCATTCCCATTATTTAAAAAAATTTTAAGTTATTTTTTAAGTTTATTTCTTTTGAGAGAGACTGAGAGAGGGTGAGTGGAGGATGGGCAGAGAGAGAGAGGGAGACAGAGACTCCCAAGCAGGCTCTGCACTGACAGTGGGGTTCAAACCCATGAAACCGTGAGATCACGACCTGAGCCGAAACCAAGAGCGATGCTGAACTGACTGCTGTAACCGACTGAGCCACCCAGCCACCCCATGGGGCTACTGGAACTTTGAAAATGACAGATGTGGCCTGCCTCGGACACAGCTGGGCTACACTGTCGTGAATTACTGCAGCATATGCACGAGCCCGCGTGGCCACGTCTGACCAAAGACCATTTTATAGTCCGTCCTTTCTGCTGATGAACAGATACCTCTTTTTACTCACCTCTGCTCTTCTACACCAGGCCCTCATTTCACAGCCAGTGGAAGAACGAAGGAAGATCTCTGCACAACCTGAATGAAGTGTGCTCCCCACTTCTGGGCTTCACCACTCCTGCCGGAAGCTTCCGTCTCACGTGGGAGGCTTCCCTAGCTGTTGCCCGCTTCGTCAGAGAGCCCATAGTTTCTGACCCAAGATATTTTTCTCATGTTCCGTCTCCAGCCAAGATCTCAGAGCTGACATCCACCTGGAGATATGGAAGTCAAGGATCCTCCACTTGACTTCATTCATTCATTCATTCATCTGGCCAATAGTAATGGAATGCCTACTGAGTGCCCTGCACTGCTCTAGGGGGGTGTGGATGCAACGGTTCAGGAGCCCCCAACACTGTCCACATCCTAACCGGGCGAGGAAAAACCCAAATCACAAGAAACCTGTTGATCCTTTAATGAAGGATTTCCTTCCCTATGATCTTTCACTTGTTATTCTCCTGGAGAGAGAGAATGCATTCTCCTTTTGTTGTTTGCCCTTTCCCTCCGAGGCAAGGTTAGGGAGAGCCAAGATTTGTAAGATTTGTGATGAAGTCCTTGTTGTCACAGGGACAGGCTCCGGGATGTCGGGGGGTGGGGAGGTGGGAGGAAAGAACGCTGCAAGCCGGGCCCCAGAAATTAGCCAATCCGCCCAACGCTCTTAACGACCTTCCCCGTCTCCAGTTCTTGACAGATAATCAAGATTAGTCAGCAGGAGAATTGACTGTGGTTCTTTAAAGTAGCATATAATTATAATGGTTAGTACTTAAGGGGTATCTTTTCTTTCACGCTCTTTCAGCACCATTATGAGCCCTAAGTCCATAATCTTGGCAGTTTTCACTACATTCCTATTATTTTTTAAAATTAAATTGTATAATGACCTACTTGAACAAAACTTAACAAAAATTTTTAATGTTTATTTATTTTTGAGAGAGAGGGAGAGACAGAGTGCCAGCGGGAGTGGGGCAGAGAGAGAGGGAGACACAGAATCCGAAGCAGAGTCCAGGCTCTGAGCTGTCAGCACAGAGCCCGACGCGGGGCTCCGAACCCACAAACTGTGAGATCGTGACCTGAGCCGAAGTCGGACCTTAACTGACTGAGCCACCCAGGCACCCGTTGAACAACAGTTTTAAAGAGGCTTTTTATTAAAACAAAACAAAACAAAACAAAACAAAACAAAACAAAACAAAACAAAACTCTAATCTTCTACTCAATGTTCTTCTCTGTCCCCTCTGTTTCAGTTTGCTAAAACTTTATGACCCTACTGTGTGCTGCTTGAAGGCTGCTTGAAGTGCCATATAAATGCTTTTCTTTTTCTTTTTTTGCTTTGGTTTAAGAGATAAGGCTGTTCCATTCCCCTATCCATTCATTGCTCCATTCACAGTGTGTTGAGTTAGCCAAGGAATTTTTAGTTTTTGAGAGTAAGGTTTACCATAAATCATGCAAAGAAAAGGTCATGTTTTGGAGGCCATTGAAGGATGTGGAATGTAGCAAGGGCTGTGCCAGGTGTCACAAGGTCTTGGAACCAGGGTCTCCGAAACTCAGGACCCAAGATGACTTCGTCCATCTCTTCTGATTCACGTGGCTTCTCACCTCGGTCTCTCTCTCTCTGTATATCAACTTGTTCTCTTTTCTCTGACTCTTCTGTTTCCTTGTGTAATGGCCAGACATGGCCCCAATACTGAGATCTCGAGAAGGAAACACTGATTGGTTCCATTGGGGTCATGTGCTCCCCTTTGGCCCAATCAGCTGTGGACATTGATAAAGGTGTGTCCGGCCCATAAATTCCTTAGGAAAAGGAATCAATGGCTCAGCCACTTTGGGAAACAGTTCCGCAGGTTCTCAGAAAGTTAAACAAGGACTTGGCTTGTGACCCAGCAATTCCGCTCATGTATTTACCCAAGGAAAATGAAACGTGCATCCACATATAACTTGCACAAGAATGCTTGTAGCAGTCAATAAATGCAAGTGACTCAAATGTCCATCAGCTGGTGAACAGAAAAGCCACGTAGTTTTGCCAGGCAATGGGATGCTCTTGGGTAATATACAAAGACATGAGGCATGGATGTATGCTACAACCCAGGTGAACCTCAGAGGCACTAGGTTAAGTCAGAGAAGCTAGATGCAAAAGGCCATACGTTGCGTGAGTCCATTTACATGAATGTCCTGAAAAGGCAAATTTATAGAGACAGAGGGTAGACTCCCGGTGGCCTGGAGCTGGCAGTGGGAATAAGGAGTAACTACAAATAGAGATTCGGTTTCTTTTTGGGTGGAGGGCAGTTTCAAAATTAGATTGTGGTGATGGTTGCACAACACGGTAAATACACTAAAAGTATTTAATTGTTTACTGTCAGTGGGTAAATTTTACGATACGGAAATTATTTCTCAATAAACCACCTGGGGGGGCCCCCTCCGTCTGCATCCCTGGTAGATGGGGTTCCCTCCAGATGCGCCAAGCTGCAGGGTGAAATCCTGCCTCTGTGTCATTGTTTCTATCATTCCTTCCTCCTACCACACCGTCCCTGCCCACATTTGAATGATGGGCTTTTGTGCCACACTGCGTCGGTCATTAGCAACTTTCGGCATCAGGAATTTCTCTTTTCTATGAACTGCTTGCTCTTCAGGACCGCCGTTGCCTGGACTCATGCTGCTTCTTTTTAAAATAGTGTCTCAGAGGGGCGCCTGGGTGGCGCCGTCGGTTAAGCGTCCGACTTCAGCCAGGTCACGATCTCGCGGTCCGGGAGTTCGAGTCCCGCGTCAGGCTCTGGGCTGATGGCTCGGAGCCTGGAGCCTGTTTCCGATTCTGTGTCTCCCTCTCTCTCTCTGCCCCTCCCCCGTTCATGCTCTGTCTCTCTCTGTCCCAAAAATAAATAAAACGTTGAAAAAAAAATTAAAAAAAAATAAATAAATAAAATAGTGTCTCAGTCGCAAATATCTTCTGTTTCCCCCCTTTCCCCCCAGAACCCAATCTACCCTTCCCACCCTGTTCTCAGCCCCTGGAGTCTGATATATGTGGACAGCATCAATGGGCTCCCTTGCCTTCTGGCTTCTGTTGGGTTTGGCCAACGGGCTTCTGTTGGGTTTGGCCCTGGTTGGGGTCAGAGGGAAGGAACTGAATGAGGCTAGACTATTTAGCCCCTGGATCCAAAGTGGTACGATGGCCTGTCCTGGATGTCGTGCTCTTCAGCCGAAGACCACTGTTCTTCTCGAGGGTTCCAGCTCCACAGGATCTCCTCGGCCCCATCCAGCCCTCCCCTGAGACCTTCTAGGCACAGATGTGGTACCAGCTCTTTGCAGCCCTGCGTTACTGCACTATTCTTTATGGTTCCCAACCATACAAGCCTTTGTAAATAGTCTCTTTGTAAGTAAATCTTCTTCACGTAGTCATATTTCAAGGGTGCCATTTCCTGTGGAGATTTTGACTGCCACAGCCTTCCTCTCCTTCTCTCCACCCCCTCCCTACTTTCCTTTTCTTCCTGGCTTCATATGTTTATGTCCTTGTTGTCGGTTTCTCCCTACGAGTCAGAACAACTGCTTCTGGTTGCCACAAGAGAAAACCCCCGAAACTCCGTGCCTCGCTCCATAAACCTTTATTTCTCTTTCATGTCGCAGTCCTCTGTGTATGGGAAGCCCTTCTCCATCTTCTTGCTCATCCACGGGAGCATGTGGCCTCCAAAAGCCGGCCATTTTGGCCCATGTTCCCATTGAGTAGAACCGAGTCATGTGACCCCAACCTAATCGCAAGGGTGGCTGGGAAACACGGAAGCGCACACGGAAGTCTGCTAAGCACCATTGCCTCCGCCATCCTCCCCTATTAGAAGGTAAGCTCCCTGAGGGAAGGGACTTGGTCATCCTTGTCACCACAGTCTCCCAGCAACTGCCACGTGTTGAACACCTGCGAGGCTTGGATGCATGAATAAATGAAGACGGGCATGAATGACGCCTTCCTCTCTGAAATTTTCGTCTAATTCTCAGCAAGATGCTCTGATGTAAAGTTCATCATGAGGGCTAGAACCCTATCTCGCTAATGGCGTTTTCGGTCTTATTAGCATAGGGACTAATCTTGACGTGCTTTGGATTCACACTTTAACCCACCCCCAATCCCTTGCGGATGTCCTTCTCTTTGACCCTGTATTTGGGATAATGACTCCCGTATTTCCCATAGTTCCCCAGAAGAAACACTGATCACAAGACCCTAATTTATTCTGTGTGGTTTCTGTTCTTTCATTATTTTAATGATGTTACAAATACTTCTTTATTTAATGCCCTTACCATGTGCCAGGAATTAGATTCCTTGTTTCTCTGCCATGCTTTCTCTTCCTAGTTCCCTTCTTCAATCTTCTGAAACTTTTAGGGCCTCGAGGCAATGACCCCCGATGACCCTAACATCCATAGATAATGGCTTCTAAGTACATCTGAGAAACTCCCACAAGTTACTTTTTCTGGGATGATTTGTGAGGAGTCTGTGAAACTACGGCTTTGTGGCCAAAAATCCAGTTTCTTGGTCCCGGACTCTGTCTCTAGATTTGGCCTTGGTCCCAAGAGGATTTGGGGATAGAGTGTGGACGCCTCCATAAGGGCTCAATACCCCTAGTGGAGACACAGCTCAAACCACAGATCCTCGGCCCTCATTTTGCATGCTGTGTTCAGAGAGAGTTCTATACGAGGTCAAAAAGTGTTCTATCAGAAAGGTATTCCTGGTGAAAGAAATTTGGGAAAAACTGCTTGGTCCACCTCCCTTTTGCGAACTCACAACTTAAAGTAAAGGCTCTGAAAAGGCCTGGAAATAAAGCAAAAAAGCAAGCAAACCTATTCGCTTTTGTTTGGCCTAGTTTATCCCACACGTATTCAACCATGGGTCCCATTTTCATGCGATGTGTGTTAACATCTTGTGGACTTACAATCCTTCTGAGCAGTTTTGGAAACTCTGTCTCTACCTCTGTGATTTCCGGTTCTTAGTTCCATCCTGCAACCTTTTCCATATGTCAGAATTAAGGCTCCGAGATGTAAAGTAGCTTTTGTACGGTAACTTAAGCTCGTGAGTAGCACAGCTAGAACTTGAACCCCTGCCCAATGGGTTGAAAGCCCATATATTTTTGCCTCTGTCCTGTACTCTTTCCCCTGCATGGTGAGCTGCCTGGGATCCATGTTAATTATTCGATAAAAATAATTCGTAATTAATCGTTGATCGCCTGTCAGCGAATACTATTCTGAAGAACTCGAAGACGGTTTCTTCGCAGCTCCAACAGTCTGCTTTGCATTATCAATTTGTTAAGAAACTCTCTTTTTGGTCGAGCTGTGCAAAAGGAAACTTCCATCCAGACTGTCTGAATTATCCCCAAATTCTGAACTGATGGCATCCAAATGAATAAGACTTTACAGAACTGCACTTGGAGAGTTGATTGGATTTGTCAGTTTTCCTGTGGATATAAAGCCCTGGGTGGCTTGACTGCAAGTATGCTAGAACATAAATAATCACCAGATTTTCAGGTGAATTCCACAGAGTCCATAGGAAAAAGAAAACTCAGGCTATTTGTTTGGGAATCTACAGGCTATCTGAGAAAACCCTGCACGTAGTCCCGAAGTCTGAGCTCAACGATGAGCGTGTTTGCAAAAAAACAAAACAAAACAAAAGAAACCAGATTGATCTCTTTCTTTTCTTTTTTTTGTTTCTTTTCTTTTTTTTGAAGCCAAAGTACTTTGCAGCAACCAGTGTTAAGATTTAACAGCCAAGAAGGTCAAGGTGATGAACTTCCAAGTGCTCTTGGACACCAGGCAACTTAGTCAACTCCCCAAACCCCAAAATGCGAGAGGGTCAGAAAGCAAGGAAAACATGTTTTCATAACTAAAACGATTACATCTTGGATCGGTCCATTTATTTATTTATTTCCCGCAAAGGGGTTGCTAGAATGTCACGCCTCTTGGCTTCCTGATGGCTTCTTCCTATGTTTCGAGGCGGGTGAGATATGGGGCAAGGCCTCGCAGCACTAGACTTGGACTTCTCTCGTTTATGTTTTCCAGAGGCTCCGTGCTCTGACGTGATGAAAGATCTGACCCGGGAATTTCAAGTTCATGAGTGGGGCGGGGAGGGGAAGGGGGGGCCCGGAGGCTTCCCAACCCCAGCTTCCGTCTGCCCCCATTGGCTGGACTCCAGCGACGTTCATTCTTGAAGGGTTAGGTCAGCACTGCAGTTCTCTAGTGGATCCATGTTCCCTTACAAAGAAACGGCTTGTGCTTCTTTCTGGAACTTGAGGTGTGCGCGGCGTTTATAGTTCATCCTCAGCAGAGCTCGCAGTGGGCGTCGGCACCTGCTCTTGCATTCGGTGGGCCCTAACTGAGCATCTACTCGTGCCAGGCACTGCCGAGCACTGAGGGTGTCGGGAACAGACGGCATCATCTCTATCCTCTTGAGAATCCCCGCATTGTTTCGAATTGTGTGACACCCGCTTCTGCCGTCGGTCACTTGGCCTCAGAGGCAAGGATTGTATTAGGAGTCGTCTCTTCCAGTCTTCTCATTTGATAGGTGGGAAGACAAAGGTCCAGACAGGAGGAAGGGGCTCGCTCAAGGTCACCCAGTGGATTAGTTACAAAACCTAGAGAAGGATCCGGTTTTCTGGCTTTCCAGCCCAAAGCTCTTTCCCTTGTACTCCGATGCCTCTCACAGTTCATTCAGTTGGGCTTTGCTGAGCTCTCTCTCACTAGGCACCACGAGCCGTGTTCGGCGCTCCATGAATCCCAAAGTTGTCACTCAAGAAACTGAAGACCCAAACTGGAGGTGATGGATCCTTGAGCCACTAGTTGGGAAACGTGGAGGAGAAAGGTTAGACGTGGGAATCCGATAGTCTTGGATTTAAATCCTCGCCTTCCGTTCACTCATCATGTTCTTTTGGGCAAGCAATTTGAGCTTTTATGAGGCTCAGTTTTCGCATCTTTGAAACAGGAGTGTTGATAGTAACTCCCGCCTATGAGTGTTGGGCAAAGAAGCAGTCCTATATGGAAAATGTTCTGCAAAGTTCCTGGCACAAAACAGGGAACCCTGCGTGGTTGTCATGAATCATAAGTACTGTGATAAATGCTATAGACGGTTATACGTAGTGTTCTGGAAATATATAGAAAGGAACAGCTAATTATGTCCCCAGGCTGGGATAAGATAAAGGGACTCTTTTTTTTTTTTTTCTATTGGGTTTTTCTGCCTGATTGATGTGCGGGGAGGGTGTATATTTTACGGCTGAAGTCTCTGTGTAGACATTTCTACACTGAGAAGTTCATTTTCCTGTAAGAAGCGACAAAGCTAAAAACGGACGTTGAGTGCACAACAGGACACTTCCGTTGCTGACTAGCCAGATAACAGGCTTTTTTAATGGCTCTGTCCACTTGCTCTAAGTACGTGGACAGCCCATGTCCAGAGGATGATCTAAGACATAGAAGTTCTTAAAAAGGTTTATGAATCATCAGAGATCAAATGGGTTGAGTCATCCAGCATTATATACTTTTTTTGTGTGTTGGAATTGCTTTGAAAATGGGTAATGCTATCAAGGTCATTCTCTGGTGTTGCTCAAGCAGTTGGTATTGACAAACATTTCCCAAAGCCTGCTTTGTGGAACATTAGACCCGTGATGTGCTCGGGAACTTTGGGCACAACGCATATCCGGATTGTCCCAGGGTATCTGAGAGGGAATGCACCATATGATCCATGAAGAAAGAATCCAATTTGTGTTTTTAAACCCAGGAGAATTGTCTTTAATCCCCAGATTATGAGGTCTGTGAGTACAGGAATTATACCTCCCTTTTTCTCGATTGTAACCCAGCAACTAGCACAATTTGGGATGTAGCACAAATGGGATGTAGTGTCCACTTAATACATATTTGTTAAAAATAAGTACATGTTTCCCAAACTTGCTTGACCACTGAAGCCCCCTTTTTGTCCACGGTATACGTAACAGCATTTTGCTGAAGGAAAGGAAAGTTTCCTTCAAACCCAAATAGCAAAATTGGCTCCACGAAGATGTCTTAGGGTGGAATTGGTGGGAGGGTTGTATTGGTGGAGCTCTGGACCCCCAACCCTGATCTCAACCGGCGCATCCTCGCCATCATGGTAACCGCTTTATACCTTAGGATTTCTTCTGAATTAAGAGTTAGGTGTTTCTCGTACACTTGAAATACACTATTCCAGAAGGAATTGGATTCTTGGGGGATGTTAATATAACCGAAGGGAACGATCAAGGTTGGGCTTGACAGATTTAGCTAGATGTGTTTTAAGAAAAAGTGTGCCTCTAAAACTCATTTGATTATAGATTCACTCGTTTGTCTGTACTTATTGAATGTGTCTAGGGCCAGACACTCTTCTAGATCTTGAAGATACAGGGAAGTCTGGTAGATAAGGTCTCTGACCTCGAGGAGCTGGCAGTTGGCGGGACAGGGGGATACTGGTTAGTATACCAGTGGGCAGTCACGTAACAAGCATGCTTTCCCAAAGACACACACGATGTGAGGGTGGTATAATGGTGAGATCAGAGTGAGGGCGCTAACAGGAGGTTAGCGGTGTGTATAGAAAGACCTGTACCGGAAGGAGCCCCTGGAGTTCAAACCCAGACGACATCTGAAGACCAAAAAGGAGGGCATCCTCCAGCGCAAAGACATTGAGGCGGAAACAAAATTGGCGCACTCAGAGAAGGTAAAGCAAAGCAGTGTGGCCAGAGGACAGCAAGCTAGGGGGCGAAATGAAATCGAAAATATTCACAGCACCTTACCAGTGCCAAGCACGGTACCGTGGATACCTGGTGAATGTGCACGTCTATATAACGAGTTAATTGCACTCTTCCATTCCTGTTCTCCATAATCTTTGGTTCCCTTGTTTGTTCATGTTTTAGAAGATAAGGCTATTTTTTTTTTTTTTTAAGAGCTAGATACCGTTTTTGCTATTCTGGTGAGTCTGACCATATCCCATGTGATATCAGGTGATAAATATTGCTGGTTAACTTCCTCGCGAGGCGTCTATTACAGAAGGAAGAGGCCCATGAAGGACCCATGACGTGGCCAACCTCGCGCAGGGCACTTCTCAGAAACCAGGGGTGGGGACCCACCTTCTCACCTTGCGATTGAGCTCCTGGCTGGAAGGATTAACTGATCCACTTAACTCCATTTACTTTGACATGCTCACACTTGAACTTTCCCCAGTATGACGTGCTCAGTTCCCCAAATGTGGGATTTTAAGTGAAACCCTGACATTTAGCTC